CAGGTGGTGCTGAATATGTGTGGCTTTCTCTTTGGTCATATTGGAGCTGCTTTTCAAATACAGTAAGGTAATTTCAGCATCATTACAAAGAGTGACAACAGCTGTCCATAAATATTCCCTCACGCTGGGAATCTTTGGCTCTGGAGAGTTTATCTTTTGGATTGAAAAGAAATCTCAAATCTTGAAAGCAGAGCTCTTGCCTTCTTTGTATATTCTTTTGCCCCCTGGAGTGCCATGGGATGAGGGATTAGGTTTATGAATACAGTAGGTGTTTTACAAGTAATAGTTAAGAGTTAAATTTCTTCAAGTTTGGTGGGATCATTCAGTCTGCCACTGGACCCAGTTAGAAGAACTGAAGGGGCCAGCTGGCCTTGCCTTTTGGTTTTAAAGTTAGTAAGATTTTGTAGCCAATTGTTCAAATACTTTAATGGAAAGATTTGTAGAAACAGATTCTAGGGCCTGACTCAGGGAAAAGCTTCAAAACATGTGCTTACAAATTGGTTATGGAAGGGTCTAGTATGTTACAAATATGGAGAAAAACTTAATATAGAACAGTCTGTTTTTTCTGTAATAATTTCAAATTCTGTATAATTTGTGTCCTATAAACAGTTACAGCTCTTGAATGTATAGGAACCAAATATGTATAATGTTGGTTTAGTGCCATTTTTGGTATGTGCTTCTGGAAAAAAAAAAATCAGTGACACAATTATTCAAAATTTATTTTTATAGCCAGATTTGAAAGAACTTACTGGTTTTTGTCCAGAGCTTCTGCTAGTACTGTTTTTTTAAAAAAGCAACATAAGTAATAAAGGCAGGTAAAATTCATAAAGCATTCCTGCAAAGAAAAAGAGGCATTCATGAGGCAAAGAGAAAATCTTCATTGTGATTTGGATCCCAACTGGTCAAACGACTGGCTTGATGATTCAAGACACAAGTTCCTTTTCCTTGTCAGAGACAAGACCTGCTATTTATTCATCTTACCTATTCCATTTCTTCTATAATTTTTTCTTACCTGGATTTCAGAAAATACCTTTAATCTTTTTAATAATACCCATCCATATTTTTGAGAGCAGGTCTCCTTTTTCAGCTATGTTAGCAGCATTTCTCTTCAGTGTGATCTTGAAAGTGTGTGTTTATTTAGTACTTTTACTTTATCTTTCCATACATGCATTTATTTTCCTAAAAATGAAATTATATAATCTAACCTTTAATACTGTGACAGTTTTTGCAAAAGTATATGTAGTTGTAATTTTAAGAAAATTACTTTGTCCCCAATGTACATTCATATCAAGCACACATAAATCTGTATATTGAATCTTAGGGGAAAATCTTTGCTGTTTCCGGTGTGAATAAATATGCAAGTGTAGATTTGTATTGACAGATATAATCTCTTACAATCACCAAAAATAAGTAATAAAAGTATGATACAAATCCAAATCTTTCCCTTTTGCTTGTAAATAAAAATACCATTTAGGAGTGAGAATATAAAATACCAGCTAGATTTCACTTGTAGATAATTCAATCCAATGAAAAGAGGGAAACAGTTACCTGTTTATAATTTGAGATTGAAAAAAATTGGCCAGCCTTTGAACCAATTGTGGGTTTTTATTACCAATTAGTCTATTTACTACTTTGTGACAAAACCTCTTTACTACTGCAGCAACTTGGCAGAAATAACTGCATGATAAAATAATTCCTGAGTAGCCAACCTGCTGTTGCAAAATGCACATTTAATGATAAAGTATAGACTTACAGCTGAATCATTTTGACCTTGGTTTACATGCATTCTGCTAAGGACAATGGGCCGTAGTACATGGTACAGAATTTCATGGTAGATTGCTCAGTGTTTGTTTTAAAGAACTTTTATAACTGTTCTCAGGCTGAGTGTAATTTCTGTGATTTTTCTCTATTTTGTTTGAATAAATGGCAGAAAAATAGCTATATTATAAGCACTAATTCAATCAGCTGCAAACAGCAAAAATAGATTCCTTAAGGATATTCTCGCAGTCTTAATTAGAAAACTGTTTTGTGCCATTATTATCTGTAGTTAATGAGATTCTTTACAGTAGCAGAAAGGATAGAAAGTACCTACTTTCAGCATTTTGCTCCTGTGTTTATAACAAAGTGGTCCTGCCTGTGAAAGATGCATTTATTTAAATACATGTGGAGTACAGAAGTCATACTAAAAGAATGCAGCTTCTGATTAAGAGCAAATTTGAACATAATAGAAATGATTTAACTGAAAATACTGTTGTTGAGGATTTCTGACTAAAAAAACTTAAGAGCTGAAAATGTGCTAATGAATGTGGTACTTTAAAAATGAAGAATTTTTTCTTGGAGGCTTGAAAACATAATTGATAAAAGTGATGAAATTAGCATCAAGGAAATGTAGTGGGGGAGAGGCTAGTTCTTTGGAATGGCTCTAACCTGAGGCTGGATCTGCACTGGGAGCAGGCTTGTAGAGCAAAGCAATGCTTCTCTTTCCTCTGTTACACACAGTCAGGTAAGACCAGGGAGAGGGTTACTCCATGATTCAAATGGTCTCACGTGACAAACATCACCACTACTCATGGTTAAAGCTTTCAGAAACAAAGCTGTTCCACAAACCTTTTCTTCTCTGAGATCCATGTGCCACACTTGTCTTCTGCCTCGCACAGCTGGTAGCAAATTAGTGTCTCTAGCAATGTGATTATGTGATACATTACATCTTTTGAGTGAAAAGATGGGAAGACAAGGCCATTCCTTGAGCTAGTCAAAGAATCCAGTAGGAACAAAAATATTTGTGAAAAGAGGAAAAATAAGAAAATTTGTTAGCCAATTAGTTAATTAGTATTGCACTACACATATTTATTATTAGTATTCCATTTTATTCTAATATCATGTGTTGCCACATATTAAAATTTTTGCTTTGACTTTTCCCAACAGCTTGTATAGACTTCTGTTCCACACATTTGTCCAAACTTCATCAGTGCAGCGGGGCATGGAGCAAGCTGTTGTTCTGTTCTTTTTGAGTAGTAACTGTACTCACCTGTGGAGTACAGGGTGAGTGACTCAGCAGAGTGGATTGCATGAAGTGTCAACAGTGCAGCTTTGTTTTTTAATAAAGTATCAGTTTCCAAGAGTTTTCAGACTTCATTACTTCATTTATCAGTAAATCAATTAACACTAGAATCACTAGCTACACTATTGTAGTGAGCGTATGTTGCTGAAAAACAGTGTGACTGATAAAAAAGAAATAGAAAACCATGTACTGTGTAGGTGTTTTTATTTTCATACTGATCTTGATTATTACATGTATTTATATAAAACTGGAATGTGAAGCAGGGCTGGACATCTGTGTAAGTTCATACCTTGAAAACCAAAAAAAATGAATCTATATATTTTGGAATTTTGTGAACTTAATGAAACAATACAAGCACTGCCTAAGTTTTTGAAGCCTGTAAGTATAAATGTCTTGAGCAGAAAAAGTCTTCCTTAAATTATACAAAATCAGGCTGTTTTTAGTATACAGGATTACTTGCCAATATTTGCAAATGTACCTTACTTAACATCGGTTGATTTTTATTTATTTTTTAATTCTGTGAATTTAAATTTCTACTTTAAGAAGTGCCATTCAGAATGTTTTCACAACTTCCTGTGTCTCTTAAGAATATTGCTGTTCTTGGTAACTTCTAATGAGGGATAAGAACAGAACAAAATGTCAGTAGAGGTGCTAGGAACTCTACAGCAGTACTCCTGAATTCAAAGGAGCATCCCTGCTTTGATGATGAGTTAGTCTGTTTTACCAAAGGAGGGAATCATCTTCAGATTTACATCCCATGCACAGCAGCATAGCTTGAACCTTTTTAATACAATGAATTTATTCAGTGTTGTCAAATGTATTTATGGTGTTTTGTTAGTGGGTTGTCTTTTTTTTTTTTCTAAGAAGGATTTGTCTCAATGACTTCTCTTACGCAGATAAATAATATAGGTTGGATAGACACATCTTACAGATAATAGTCTTCCTTTGAGAGCTGTAGTTGTCTAATAATAGTTCTGGCTTCAAGCCTAGAGAATATGCTCTGAGATTTAAACCAGGTCATCAGAATGCTTGCGTTTCTGAGATATAGCATACTGGCTGTAGCATAAACCATCCAGCACCTGATTTCATTGTAAACCTATTATAGTCTTATGTTAGTGTGAAATGTGTAGATTTTATATTATGGTTCACTGTAATTGTGATCCCTCACAGGAAAACATTTAAGCTACATGCAAGTAATAGGATACATGGTGTTGTGCAGGTTGTTAGACTTTTGATTTGTAAGTCCCTCAGCAGAATGTGGAGTTTATAGAATTATTTCCTGGGGAAAATATAGTATAGAATCGTGAGATCTAAAATACTATATGAACTTCAGTAAAACATTTTTATGAGAGTTGTGATACAATCTTTAAAAAAGCAATCTACTATATGAAAAATCCATCAGAAAGTAATAATTTATTAACATAATAAAAAAGCTGGAGAAATATTAATCTATACTGCAGTTTGTGTACCCAACATTTGAAAAGTATGGATTGTGAAGAAATTGTGGGAATAAGTTGCTATTTCCTCCTGTGAAGACTGGTAATTCTGGATCTCAAAAAGAGCAATATAAATTGTTATGTCACTGCCTCTATGCCACTGTTAGGCATTACCTTTCTAAAATGGTAGAATTTTATGGAGATCTACTATTAGGAAAAGAATTCTGGTCCACAGAAGAGGCATTCTGCCAAGGAGAGAATTTGACATGCTGTCAATGGATGTTTTTGTGAAACAGGTTTTTATTAGGTTGCATGATTTTCCTTTATCTACAAGAAGGACAGAGCCAAGGGTCTTCTACATATTGCCAACGTATTTCCATAGACATAATGAACACAGATCATCAAAGAATCAAATTTTGTGCTGATTAGGACTATTTAGTTACATTATATAATTGAAAACCATATTCTTTGTGCCACTTATGTTTTTTGCTTTGTATTTATAGGATGCAAAGTTTGTAGAAGAGCGACGCAAGCAGCTACAAATTTACCTAAGGAATGTAATGAACAAAATTATTCAAACTGTGCCAGAATTCTCAGCCAGTCCCAAAAAAGAGACTCTTATTCAGCTGATGCCCTTTTTTCTGTAAGTATCTGTCAAGTAGTCAAGAAAATATTAAGCTTTTTTCATCACAATTTAATTTAAAATATGACAGCATCTCCAAAGTCTTTAAAAGAGTGGTTTTTTAAATAGAAGGTTCCTCTTCAAATTATAAGTTCTTTGGTTATATCTAAAGGAATATATGACATATATAGTAATTTTTGTTTATTTAAATGGTGATGTTGGACAAAAATCAGTGTAAACCTTTCAGAAATATCACAATTTTAAAATCTGCCTCCATATGTAATGTTCATACATTAGGTGCTTTCAATTTCTTTAATTTGGTCTTTTTCAGTTTTGTTTGGTTTTTGTTTGAGTGGGGTTTGTATTTTTGTTTTGAAATTTATTTTGAGGGATGAAGGTGGAGCACTATTAGGGCATTTACTAACCAGATTAAAAAGACAAGCTGTTGAACTCTTCTAGCTGAATTTTGCAATCTTCTGACACACATTCTGATTTCATATGTCGTCTGTTAAGAATCTCAAAACATACCCTTTGGTATAAATCATACAACGGATATAATCTGTTAAAATATTTCTATTTTGCTGTAAATATTGTTCTTTACAGTATTTGTAAATGACATTTAGAACTATTTAAGAAATAGCATTAAGGAAAATTTGTTTTTGAAAGTGGAGTTATATCACTAATAGTTTAATAGATTTTCAGTACTACACTTGTACAAATTATGTATAGATTGAACACACATTCATAGTAAGCCATCATATTAAATTTGCTGTCCACAAACTTCTGCACAGGGATTGTGCAGCCATGCCTGTGAATCAATGGATGGATGAATTTGCAGAATCAAGACCAATTTAAAATTAGTATGTTTCAGTAGAAGCTGTACTATTTGCATGATGTTGTGCAGAGTTTCAAATTTTCAAGTTGAAACTTTATTGCAAGAAAGCTGTGTTTATTAGAAAATGTAATAGATACATGGAAGAATGACAAGATGTATTTTGTGGCATTCATATTTTTTTCAATTTTTCCTGGATTTGAAAAAGCAAAAATCAATTTAATGAGACATCTTGATGAAGTTATAAATGGCAAGATTATGTTTGTAGGGACAAACATCTCAAAAGACTTCTCCCTAAGAACCTATTTTGTAGAATTTGACTAAGGACTGTAAAGATTGAAATGGTTTCAGGTACTTCAGCTGAGGGGCCTGTATGTGGCTTTTTGTTCAGTGATTTTAAAGAAGTTGTCCTTCATGTTGTATTTAATTTTGTTTTTTTGAAGAGGGGGCAAGTACAAAATACATTTGCAATTGAATTTTCAACTTAAATATTTTTTTATCTTCCTGACCAATTATATCTTATTTTAAGATGGTTAAGTATAGCTGTGTGAAGTAGCGAACTGGTAATTTCTTGTCAAATTCATTCCCTCACTTCGCTGCTTTAAATGTGGAGCAGGAACGTAAATTCTGAACAGTGTGCTGTATAAGGTCACATCTTTTCACTGAATTTTCATTGATTATCCCAAGTTCTACACAGACAGCTGGTAATGTAGAATAACATCTGTAAGTTGAGGCTAGCTAGCTTTTCCTCCTCAAGCAGTTTGCTTATGAAAAAAATTAAATTTCAAGCTTTGTGTGGTATAACATATCTTAATAAATGATGATTATGATTTTGGGTGTACATTGAGTTGCTGCAGTAGTTACCATTACCTCGATAGTACAAGTGGTCATAAAGATAGCAACACAACTAATATTAAAATATGAAATAAGTGGACAACAGTTTCAAAAAGAAGTTATTAGATTGGGAAAAACTGTGGTTACTCAAGTTAGAAATATTGATTTGAGGCTTTGGCCTTAATTGATGAAAAACATATTCATAGTAGCAGTTCATTACTTGAGGTGTGATGCATTATTTACATGCTTTAATTAATATTGTTTTGTTTTAGAATTTTTATTTCATTTCAATTATTAGAATTCCACATATATTTTTAAATCTGTCATTAAGTGTACAATTCAATAGTGACCATACTGTCCGATTGTGACAATGAGATGATACAGTACTGATGTAAATGTAATGTTACTACTTTTCAGGTGGGTTTTTTTTTCATCTTAATACACTGTTGTTACAGAAATATTTTGTTAGAGTATCATTTTATTCTGCTTTGAGAAATTACGTTTCAATAATAGCTTATTTATTATCTCTTAGCCACTTGTATTAAAAACAGGAAGGGAAAACAAATTTTCTTTTATTCCTTAGCCCTAAACAATTAACTTGCTTTCTGACAGTTAATCTAATCTCTTTCATAAGTGTGTAAATAGCATTTAGATCTCATGTCTTTGTTTATTAAAAAAGTTCCAGGTATGAGGACCTGCACAGGAAAAAATTCTAAATCACATTCCCACTTTATGGGTCCTACCAATGATGCACAAATCAGAAGAAACACCATCACTGTATTCTGCTGTAAACAAAAAACAACCAAACCAACCAACCAAACCAAACAAAAACCCCCAACCCTGTTTTTTTTGTAATAAATGTAATGAGCTGAATGAGATAGATACAATTAATTTCACAGAAAGAGCAAAGTTTTATTGAGAAGGCAGCATAGTTAAGTAACCTGTTTTCTCAATATGGGTACAATTTAGTGTGTGAAACATTGTGATAGAAAAGAAAGCAATTATCTCTAAGGAAATAAATTTGTTCAAGGAGATTTGCTCAAGCAAATTTGCCAGCACCATTTGTCAACAATTTGTAAACACCAATATGATGCACTGCATTCATGCTAACCTTTTTTTGGATATAGCTATGTGATAGGTTGCAAAAAGCCTGTTTCTTTTTAGAGGGTTTTTTTGCATTTCGCAATTTCACAGTCTTCAACACATTGCATGAAGCAATGGACCATAACGTATTCAAGAATATTCTTTGATATCTGGACATTATGGCAAAAAGGTTCTGTTCACATATGTATATGCGAATTATTTCTTTGGAGCTTTTTCTCAAATAATAGATGTATCAGCATTCTTTCTTAGCTAGAGTAGATAGTTCTCCATGAGAATATTAGTGGGATTCTGCAAAAGCTTAGCTGTTGAGCAAAATTACTGTATACCTCATCTACAGCAGACAAAGTGGGTTTTTAATGCATTTTTCTACTGAGAAATCAGTCTCTTCCTCTGCAGCTAGAGCAGCAATATTAAATTAAGATCTTTCAGACAATGACAGAAGGAATACATTTTAGAAAGTATCATCGCTGCTAGGCTATCGTTTGAATTCTCAATGTCCTTTATTTTCTGAGAGTCGTGACCTGGCACTGTTGGTGCGTAAGAAAAAGTATCTCAAAGAAAATGCATTTCAGTTCCGCTTCATATTGCCAACTTCTCTAATATTGTCCTTCCTTCATGGATTTTGAGCTTCATCAACAGGAGATCTCGAATGTGCTGGACGCTCTGAAATGTTTATTACATTATTTAGTTGTAACCTTTGTATAATACCTGCAATTCTTCTGTTCTGTTAGGTTTAATAATATTGTAGCATAAAAATAATATTTTAAGATAAAACTGTAAATACGTATAATAATTCTGATATGTTTAATTTGTGCTTTATAGCACAAATGTGTGTTTAGTTGGTGATAACATCTTTATCAATGAAAGAGCAGTTGTAAAACATTGAGATATTAGTCATAGGACTGTACTGTAGAGAGTAGTGATACTGCAGCCTAGGAGAAAAAGTTACAGTCTTCATATGCATAAAAAGTCTCTAGGGCATTAGATCTGTCTACAAGGAAGCAATGAAATACAGAATAAAAAAAAGAATTATCTGGTCTTAGAAGGTTTTTTGTCACTGCAAAATTAAATGACCACACTTCAATGTGAAAATGAAAAATCCCATAACGATTATGTCTGATTAGGCATCCTATAGATAGAAATTAAAGGGTCAGTTTTAATTATTGACTTCTAAGATCTGATTTAGGTCCTAGAATATGATTATGATGAACAGAAAATAAGATTAACATCTTTAAGACTGAATCCACTGATTATTAAATGCTGGAAGGAATACTGCATGAAATTTTTGGTGTGAGGTTGTTCCTTTGGGGATTTCTCCCTTCCAAGTGCAGTGATTTCATCGAATCAGGCACAAATCTGATGAGGCAAAACATTTTAATTGATCTGTATGAAGTAGCCTAACTCTGTTATAAAGAAATTAATTTTATTTTGAAACTCAGATACAGTTAACAGTTTGCAGTAAAATAACATGAATCAGTTTGGTAGCATTTCTCGTCATTATTGTATCAAATGGTAGTGGTTAATCATGGAAATGTAATTTGTTTTGATTCCTTATGCTGTGAACTGTCATTAATGTATTTTTTTTGTTGTCAGTCTCTATCATTTGTAATTTTGGTTTGTATATTTTTCAATTTTAATGCTGCTTTAGCTCAGTCACAGATTTGGTCAAATAGATTCTTTTATAGTCCACTTTAATGTCTTAATGTAAAAAAGATTGTGGCTCTGCTAATTTGTCTGTTTACATGCTGAGTAACAAATTATTTGTAATAATAAAATTGACATCACAAGTTAAACAGTCCATGCAGCGCAAAACCTAAATCAAAAATTGGCACTGCTGGATTAGATGGCTACGTCTGCTAGCTGGTGAAGGCCTGTCCGTTCATACTTACTTCATTAACAATTATTTGCACTTATGATTGGTACATAACAGATAAATAAAACCTGTTATAACAAGTACACTTGTGTTTTAATCACATTTTTATCAATCTATCAAAAAAATATCACACACATTAGTTCTTTGTAAATCCATATATATGAACAGGAGGAGTCTTTGGCAAAAAGTATCACAATTATTTGGACCATATAATTGAGGCTTTCAACAAAAATCATCATAATAGGTTATATGATTTCAAATATGTAAAAATCTAAAAGTTGTAAAAAACTGTGAAAAGAAACACTAAAATGTTGTGATGTTCCATTTTTCTGTCTCTCTGGTTTCTCTATCAAATGTCCTCATTTTTTAGAAGGTGAA